GTCTTCGGTAAGTTTAGCTAGCTTATCTTAGGGCCAGGATACGCCTGATTGTGTGGATGCCTGCTGACAGACTTAAGGTACATTGAATCAAGGGTCTGCCTGCTAGGCAAGGCCAAGAGGAGAGTGTGGCTGTGTATAGAGCGACGGAGAGACTTCGTTCTGTGTGGTTGTGTGTTGACCGAGGGTTCTCACACGTATTAGACTTCCCACCGAGGATTCCCTCGGTGCCCCTGCATTGGGTCCGCAAAGACCAGTACCCTTCCATCTGAGGGACTGCAGTGGGTTTGCGGGGGAGCGCTACGTTATACTCCCTACCTTCGCTCGTGGCTAGGAGAGTTTCTTAGGGGTTGGCCGAGGGCAACTCGGGGTTCACAGAGGCTAGACCAACTCGATGTAAGGAATCGTTCCTGGTCTTCAGGTCTTTGCAGGGAAGCGTGTGTTGTTGGTAGAAACTCACCCGAAAGTGAGAATTCTATCGTGTCCTACACGATATACGGATCGCAAACATCACGGGGTGATAGATCTTGTCATATTCCTGCATCAACGTTCCCGAAACCGCCCAGTCACTGGCATACACCACAACATTAGCTCTTCGATCTGAATCACAGTGCCGCAGGCCCGGGGTAGTGGTGATCTTGGATTTGAGAACACTGAAGGATCGATGGGCATTGAACCAACGCGGATCCAACTCGGTAGGATCTGGCGCCTCCAGATCCAAGGTTTTTCGGTGGTGGACCCCCTGATCTTCCTGTGATCCTCGATCCACGTTTTCCGCTTCCAACGCTTGTTGGATCTTTGCTTGGGTAGCCTTTTTCACCAGCGCACCAAAGTCGATTTCTCGCAATTCATACAGAGCCGACGCATAGATCGCATACTCCTCAATGAACCGGCTGTAATAGTTCAGACTTCCCAAAAATGACTGCATGGCTCGAAGTGATCAAGGGGATGCTAGATCCGTCAACGCCGACAGACCCTTCGGGTTCGCCTCCAGTCCATTGAGGGAGACCTTATGACCGAGATATTCCACCTTAGGCATTCCCCAGAAACTCTTTACCAAACTGATCGACAGATTCCACTTATCGCACGCTTCGAGTAAACTTTCGACTCGATCACATAGTTGATCCCAGTTATTGGCTGGGATCGGGATGTCGTCGATGTATGATCTACACCCAAGCACCGATGGCTTACCTGGATCCACAGATTCCCCGTCCTCAAACACATTTAAAGTACCTCCGCGATCTTCGGACTGCGGGATCCGGGTGAATCCATATAGTTGTCGATCATACGTTGATAGACCTGGGGCGCATTCTTTAAGCCGAAGGGCATTCGATTCCACTCAAATAGTCCAAAGGGAGTGATAAAAGCCGAGGTCAACCGATCACGAGCTGTCATTTTCACTACCCAAAATCCGCTCGCCATATCCAAATAACAGTACCAGAAAGTTGACTCCAGATCTTCGAGTAGGTCGTTGATTAAGGGCATTGGGTATATCATCAGCTGGGTTAGACTATTAACGAGCCGGTAATTGATGCACAACCTGATATCCACTCCATTCTTCTTGATGATCACCACGATCGAGGAAGCCCATGGTGATCTAGAGTAGTTATCATCTTGGCGGACAATAGACCCTTGATCAGGTTTGCCTGCTTCTCCCTGAACTGGATTCGCAGCTTACGACACTTCGGGATGATAGGCCTCGCTCCCCCGACATCGATTTCACATACGACATTTCTAGCCGCCGGCGGAAGGGCATTTCCTTTGCCGATCCAGATGTGTCATAACTTCCAGATCCTTTGGCGAAGTCGATCAATCTCTTCTGGGGTCTGGTTAACATATCCATATAGCTGAATGTCCTCAACTTTCACATCTTCCGTCGTCACAGGCACTTCTGGCAGTACCGCCATCTGACCGTGGACATCTTCCGCGTACAGATCACTTCCTTCATGGTAGTATACACATTCATGATAATCTCGATCTGAGTCCCAGGTGAGGTCCAGATCCAACGCGTTTGGTTGATCTTCAACAACAGGTGATGGATCCACGCCCGTTTTTGCGACATAGATGCGACGCTCTTGTGTCGTGTTGGGAATCCACGACACGTTTTCCCCCCCCCCGCCACTCACAACAATTCGTCAGCTCCGCAAAGAGCTAACGACGAGCGGGAGCAAAGGACTATATTCGATAGTCCTTGGTCCGATCCCTTTCGGGCTCCACTTGACTCTGCTCTGGTAAGGTTGTAGGTCGTAGGGCGACCAAAAGCTGACGATCTTGGTACGAGCACTCCAAGTCGTCTTCTTCTTCTTCTTCAACTTGGCCCTGCCTGCCCTTCAGTAGTGGAAGGTGCTTGACTTTTCAGCCAGACGCAGGGGTGCTGGGTTCTTGCCCCAGCGGTAAGATTTACTGGGAAGGTGCTTCCAGTGTTCGACGATGACTCGTTGGCTTCCAATACGACCAAACCTCACACCTA